GCCGCATCCGGCCCCCGGGCCTTAGGTTGCCTACCCCTGTCTTAGAGATTAGTTGTTCCTGCATTAAATAGCAGGAAGCTTCTCAGAGCTAAGTTTATGAAGACAAGCCAGACATAGCCTCCTTGCTTCAAGAGCAAACTGCTGTTGGAAATGGGTTGGTGTTATATTTGTGGCAGAGGTATTCAAACTGCATGCGCACAGTAAGGCATAATGGTTTCAAAACATAAAGGTGAGAGGCTGCAGAGGTTCACAGTTTGGGTGTACTCCTGGACTCAGATTTAACAATAGCAAGTATATTTCTATACCGCTTATCAGTGCACTTAATCACTCCCTAAGCAGTTTACAATGTGTAAGCTAATTGCCCCCGACAAGTTGGATACTTGTTTTAGTGACCTGCGGAAGGATGCAAGGCTGAGTCTACCTTGGAGCTCTGCAGCATTGAACTCACAACCTCGTGGCTATGCAGTACCAGCATTTAACAACTGCGCCACAAGGGCTCCCTTTGAACCTGATATGTCAGCTGTTCCTGGTCCTTGAGAAGTTGGATCTGGCTATGGTGACACATGCCTTTGGTTACCTGTTTGGATTATTGTAACACACTCTACATGGGGAGAACTGTTAGGAAATTTCAGTGGGTGAAAAATACTACAGCTAGGCTACTGCTCTGGACTGATTACAGGTATCGTCTAATTTTCCTAGCTTCGCTGGCTACTAGTCCATTTCTGTGCAGCATTCAATGTGCTGCTTATGATTTTAAAGTCCAGACTATTTGAAAGACCATATCTGCCTATATGCTCCAGGCCTAAAATTTAGGATCATCAGGGAGGGCTTTCTCTCAGTTCTGCCACCATCACAGGGCCATCTGATGAGGACATAGGAGAGAGCCTTCTCGGCAGCTGCTCTACGGAAAGCCCGACTCACTTCTTCCCTGGTCTTTTTCTGCTGGCTGACTTATGTGACACTTCTACTATTTAGACACATCCTTGAATTTTAATGGCAGCAGGGTATTTGGAATTGGTGTGCTGCGCTTTTATCGTGTACCCTTTCAGTGATGCTTTAAATCTATTTTAAACTGTTTTAGTCATGTGCCTTTTAAAATTGAATTGTGATTTAACTTTTGTAAAATAGGTTTTTACACACCGGGGAAAAAGTGGGGCAAACATTCAGTTAATTAATAATTAATTAATTAATTAATTAATTAATTATAAAAGGCAAATGTGGCACTGGCTCTCAAAAGGCACTGATAAGCCTTTTGAGAATAGGAATTCCTCTCTTTTCTCCCCCACTTGCCTCTTTGTTACTTATATTTTTGCTATTTGTCAGCAATCAAGTTTGTTTATTTGACCACCTAATTTTTAAATACTTTTATGCTGGTATCATTCCAGTGATTTGACAGAGTTAAAAATACAGATGTGGCCTCCTCCCTCCTTTTATTATTATACATGTTAAGGGTTTCAGTCGCAATTGTGGCCCATAGTACAAGATAATACACAAAGAGAGGATCAGGCCATCCCAAGTTGCAAAATGCTAATTGTCAATTTATAGCTTCAAAGTAGAGCAATGAAAGCTTTATTCAAATACTGTAGGAAAAATAAATACATTGAACAGTAAGACATAGCAGCTTTTCTAAGTGGGGAATACCTATCTGATGATCAAATGATCCATGCTGACTATAAATTTTCTGATCCTGGTACAACAAAACAGTCTTCTTCCAAGTGGTCTCCTCCATATTTTGGACTACAACCTCCATCAATTTGGATAACAACTCCCATCAGTTCAGAGTAAAACACTGCACAAATATGGAGGGCATGATCGTGGGGAGAAGTTTACTTAATTACAAATAGGATTTCCTCTCTCCATTCAACCATTTTCACGTGATTTTGAAAGATCTAGGTTTGTTTTGTATGGTTTTTTTTGTAGTGTCTTTGTCTAATGTCTTTTTTGTTGATTGTTTTTAATGTTTTTTTCAATAATTTTTTAAATAAAAATAAAGAAATATCTTCTTCCCCAAAATTTCAAAACCACCACACACATTACAGATGTTGCTCAAGAATTCAAGGCTCAGTCTGTGAGCTTTGTATCTGCCCTAAGTACATCCAAATTCAAATACACATTACAGCTGACCACACAGTGAAACAGTTCTCTGGCATCTTTGCCTTGCAGTTGTATCAATTCACAGCCGGATATTAAACACGTGGAAGAAATCACATCATCACAGGCAGAAAAGTGATCTAGGCTTGTGACAGAGCTATCAGACAACTGCTATGCCATATACCAGCTGTAATGAACTTGAAACACAGGGAGGGCTGATTATGCGAAGTGGCCCTTAGTTTAAAGCTCTGAACACTCTCACGATGATATTTATCATGGGAGCATGCAGCTTATGCTGATGTCCCAAATGCCCAGTCTAGTGTGAAAATGTTTGACAACGATAGTGGTAAAAAAAAAAAAAAAAAAGAAGCATAGGATACCTTTGTTGTTATTATTGCAGGGGAAGGCTTTTTAATCAAAAGAGAAGCTGGCATCACATTTTTCAGAGAACCTTCCATAATAACACTGTGCACACAGACACTGCCATTACAAGCTTACCATTTATGTACCATCGCATTCTAGGGTCTATTAGACAAGGCAAATGGCCAGGTTTGCTGGATGTGTTACTTGGCGCTTGCATAATAAGTCCCAAGAGACATGAAAGAATTCTTGTCTGCTTGTCACAGAAATTGATTGTGTTTATTTTTTCTCTTACCCTTCTGATACTGGAAAAGGTCACATGCTGTCTCTCTCACTCCAGAACAATTGCTGTTACTGGTAGCAGTCTGAGGTTTTTTCCCTGTGTATCACTTAGTCTATGTGCCTTTGTTGTTATTGTACTAATGCAGCTCTTTTAGGTTTTCTAATTGCCTTTTTATGCTTTGCATGATATATTCGCTGAGGGCTTTTAAGAGCCATTAATGGGTTATAAATCTCAATCACACATTATAAATAAATAAATAGACATTACAAGCATCTTTTAAATAATAAGCCATGACATTTGTAATGCTGACACATGATTCCCTATCCTTCTGTAGGTAGAATACTGAATCCTCAGTCTGTTGTACATTAGTGATGTTAATCTTCATTTATTTTGCTCTTGTACACAACACTGAAAAAAACACAGTTTTCTATCAGCTCATCTAGCATTTAAACACATTTATAATGATTTTTTTGGTCATCTCACTTCAGGTCCACAAGACATGAATAGAATGTATTTTATACAAATGATATATGTCATACAACCTCCGCAAAGCTTTTGCCCAAAAGCCAATGTTTTAACAGATTTTTTAAACTGAACTTTTTGGATTTTTTGTTGCTGCGGTTAACAATATTTGATTGACTCATCTCAATGTGTTGAGGCACTATTTCTTACCAATAATTGAAGTTAAGAACAATTATAAAGCTTTTTTGCATCCTTATAGGATTCTAGACAGTCTAGAATTGCATCTTAGTGCCTGCCCAGTGGGGTGTAGTCCTTTATAATTTTTGTTTTGGTATCAATCAGTCGTCCCTAACCTGGTGCCTTCTAGATAGGTTGGATTACAATTCCAGCAATTCCCAGCCAGTGTGACCACTGGTCAGACTGGTTGAAGAATAGTGGAAGGTGTAATTGAACATCTGGAGTGTGTCAGATTGGGGAGGGCTGGTAAACATACTTGCCTGGCAGTCAGCTCAATTAAAAATAGCAAGACTAATTTATTGCTGATATTATGTACCGTACATTGTCTGGAGCTTGCGAAAGGAACAGTAGGGTATCAGCATTGTAAATAAATAAAATTCAAAACCACAGTAGCACAGATGAACTGCCAAGAATCAAAGGGACCATCTACACCAGGGGTAGGCAACCTAAGGCCTCGGGGGGCCAAATGCGCCCCCC